ATCTCGAGGCCCTCTTTCGAATGAGACCACCCCCGTGTCGATAGCCCCCGGGGTTCGGGAGTTATGGGCGGTTAAATTCGCAGTCTGGCGCCGACCGATCTAGCGATCCCGGGGGCTGCCGACGCGTGGAGGGTGGCGTTCGAGAGGGCTCCTCGAGCTGAAGGGATCCCCCGAATTTGGTGGAGATCCGCCGGCGCGTTCGCGAGATAGTGACACCAGCCAACACTTTCACTTCAGTAAGGAGGTTTCTTGTTCAGGCAGCAGCATTCACGCATTGTCTTATCGACCGTAAGTGCCCTGCGAAGTGGACTTCACATGATATTCCGCCATGATTCCAGTTCCAAGGGACCGTGAATGAATGTTCCGAAGTGAAATAAACTTCAACGGAATAAAGTTGAATGGAATTGAATTGAATTAAAGTTAAATAAACTTCAACTTTACTGTTCAGTGCACTGATGTCAGACTCATTTTGGATAGTAAAATTTATTGTTGAATTGTTAAATGCCCTTACATATCTCTGTCACCATTATAAGTGTTTGATCACCACATTTGGGTGATCATTGCAAAAAATGTGTGTATGTATATATATTCTGTTTATGTATATACTGTATTCTATATATAGTACCAGTCAAATGTTTGGAAACACGAATGGGAAAGTGTCCAAACTTTTGACTGGTACTGTACTATAATATACACAAAGAATATCGACCGATATATCTATATCGGCCTTTTTTTAGTCCCTAATATCAGTATCGGCCCCAAAAAACCCATATCGGTTGGGCTCTACTCTAGATCACCCCAATTGGGGCTGTGGGGTTAGCAATCCCAGATGTAGACTTCAGCTTATCAGGTTTCATATTTCACTGTCAGAATCATGTCATTTCCTTCTCAGAGCTGCGTCAGCGGCATGTGATCCCTCGTCCTACTGGACGTCCTCCACCCGTTCCTGCCCCCTCGGCCCCCCCCACTCCACTTTCTGCCCCGGGAGGGCCACCTGAAAAAGGTCTGTCTACATCAACCCCCCATGGTCTGATCCGGAGGCCTGGAACCCCGGCTGGCACGCCTGGCCCAGCGATGGGTGCGTCTCATGTCCCTCACTAAACATCTGATTGGCTTTTCTTGTCATAGAAGGGCTGTTAATGGTTTTTCATCACAGATCTGTAATGTTGTTGTTTAAGGGACAAAACTGACCAGTCATAAACAAATCAAAAAATGTTGCCTTGGCAACTAACTGAAAGTTGAAGAATTAAAATGACCAAAGATGAAATAGAATGAATTAAAACCGTATAGAAATACAAGAAACAAAAACGACAAATGCCTAGCAAAATGACTAAAACTTAAATTAAAATTTAAAATCTGAAAATATAAAAGTAAATGCTAATTCAGAATATTAATAAATGTTTTAATAGTGCAAAACTAATGCTGCAATAACACAGGAGCAGTCGCAGTCTTTATCTTTTGGATGGATAGCGCTATTTTATTTATCCCCATGCAGTCGACTACAAAAATCTGCTAGCAGTGACTGACAGGTGACACAGGCCCTGCTATGTGCAAACAGTTCTGGGTCCTGTTCAAGCAAACACCTTGAGGAAGTAAGTGGAAGTGAAAAGCACCTTGGTCCACTGCAGCGTCTCCATATGCTGGTAAATGAGTAAGCAGCAGGGATTCCTGACTACGCCAAGTCTGGCAGAAATGACCAGTCTTCTCGCTATGATTGCTCTTGATGTTAAATTATATTAATTATGAGTGTGGATCACAGCGGGCATGAGGAGGGAGGTCCATATCAGTGTCGTTATTAAAAGCTGTCCCTCTTATCATTCATCATCGGCCATGCAGCACTGAGCCACAGATGCCGTCACATGTCTGAGGAGCGCACTGACAAGTGTGTATGTGTGTGTGTGTGTGTGTTCGCAGGAATGCTTGCGTGTGTGTGTTCGGTGTATGAGTTGCGTGTGTGTGTGTGTGTATGAGTTGCATGCCAGACCCGTCCTCCCCAGAGAGCGAGGTGCCATGGACAGGGTCATTGAGTACCTAGTGAGTGATGGACCTCAGAACAGGTGAATGGTCTATTGTGAAATCATGATTTATATCTTTACACTGAGCAAAATCAAGGTGTGACGTGATTTCAGAAAAAGAAAGATCACCATATAATACAGAGAAGTTCAGCTTCAGTTCAGCCAAGCTCAGAGAATAAATATCAGTTTGGTTGTATTACATATTGAATAAAAAATAAAAATAAATAAATAAGAAAACCTGAAAAATTTGGAGCTTCCGTAATGAGATACATTTGCAAGTAAAACATTGTTCCTCTAAAACTTTTTCAAATTTTCCAAAATTCTCTAACGCTATTATTATTGAGATGTGTACTGGTACTTGCCTAAACGATCAATTTTATTTTGCCTTGCATGAAATGAAATGCATCGAAAAAAAATTCCATTGTTTTTTTTTTTATAATGGGGCTGATTAATAAATGCTTACATTTGAAGGTTAAGAAAAAGAAAGAAAGGTTAAAATAATATATACTACTATACAAAAGTTTGTTTAGCAAGGATGCATTAATTGGATCAGAAGGAATTTATTTTTTAAATAAAAAAATTATTTTTATTTCAAATAAATGCTGTTCTTTTGAATTTTCTATTCATCAAAGAAAAAACGTATTACCGTTTCCATGAACATATTAAGCTCTGCATCACAGGAATAAATTACATTTTACAATATATTAAAATAGAAGACAGTTGGGTAAAATGTGCAAATATTTTACAGTATTACTGTTTTTTTTGTTGTTGTTTTTTTATTAAATAAATGCAGCCTTGGTGAGCTGTTTTGGGGTTTAGTTTGGGTAAATTGTCTGGATGGACGTGTTTGAAGCTTTGAGTTGTAAAGGCTAAGCTAGATTTATCAGACCAGTAACATCTGTTAAGAATACGAATATGGTCAATTTTTATGTCATGTGGTCTCTTACATCCTTAGACTTGTTTTTTTTTTAAGCTTTTCAGTTTAAATAATTTCTCTCTTTTTATTGCAGATATGCTCTGATATGCCAGCAGTGTTCGTCTCATAATGGCATGGCTTTAAAGGAGGAGTTTGAATATATTGGTGAGTTTGAGAGAAAAATGTAGTGCTTTGATTCTTCAGTAAGTCACTGAGCTCTTTAAACCAGAAAACCATTTTTTTTAATGTAAACAAGTGCGAACACATCATCCCTCTGATGCGTTCACAAATCATTAATGTGCTGCATGTTTATTTTCATATTCATGTGTCTGAGGATCATTCAGATGAGATGAGTTTGTTTTTTATCGCTTGTTTTAGCATTCAGATGTGCCTACTGTTATTTCCTGAACCCGGCCCAGAAGACACGTCCCCAGGCCCCGCGTCTCCCAGAATTCGCTGCAGAAACCAAGATGAGCCAAGACCCCCCTGCTGTTGCCATGGAGACAGACCTGTCTAGCTGTCCACCTGCCCCAGGTACCAGATCTCCACCAGAGTTCATCTGAGCAGCAGGAGGAGATGATGTTTAGATGCTCCTGATATTCTGAGGACTTGTGCGCGGTATTAAAGGATGATTTTTGAAGGGCAGGGTTTGTTTACTGCAGGTCTATTGTGTGTGTGTGTGTGTGTGTGTGTGTGTGAGTCCCTGCTGCTCGTGCCCTCTGAGAGGACATTTGCTGAGG